AAGGTGTCAATGCAATTGAAGACACCATTTTTGTTTCCTCTGTCTAAGATCTATCTACTCTGTTAACCATTGTCAAAAAGAATCAGCTGAAAGTTGGGGTTTTCCCTAGCTGTTTGAAGGACTATGATTGTTGTGCCAAACAAATTAATGGATGCAAATGGATGAAAGAAGGCGTTCAACGGATGAATAGTCAAGAGATCCTGTTTGAGAAAACTCTGTCCACCAAAAGTTTGACCAAAAAGATTGAAGACCTCTCCATCATAACAATTTCAAACAAGCCTCTTAGGATCTCCTCAAAGGGTCCTATCAGGATTTTCCAATGAACCAACTATTACTCCTCTGATAATTACTGCCCCTAGGCCAATTCTGTACTCTTCCAACAAAGCAGTGTCGTGGAACTACGACACTGAAGTGTTTTACCATGGAAAAAAGCAAGATGCTTGGATTGAAGAAAGAAAGACTGATGACGTTGGTAATATTACTGGCTCTAGTAAAGTAACCAGAAATGGAAGAATCTTTTCGCCCAAAATTTCACCCCCAACTGCTACAACGGCACATCTCCGCATCAGCGCTTCTAAGCCTGGTGTTTGTATAAGGGAAAAAGAGAAAGTAGTGGAGCCTACTAAGAAAGAGACGCCTGCAAAAGATGTTTCCGCTGAGGAACCTTCTGCTCAAGAAATGGATGACATCTTAAAGATTATAAAGAGGAGTGATTTCAAGATAGTGAAACAGCTGGGGCAAACCCCTTCCAAGATCTCCATATTATCTTTGCAATTTTTTCTGATGCTCACACCCGAGCATTAATCAAATTCTTAAAGAAAGCTCATGTCCCCCTGTAAGTACGAAGTGCGCCTAAGAGGGGGGGGGGGGGGGGTGAATTAGGTACTTTAAAAAATCCTGGTTTTTAGTGATGATGGATATTATTTTTCTGGTTAATGGTGAGTTTAGGAAAGAGTAAAGTGCAGAAAAATAAAGAGACACGACCGATATATCCTGGTTCCCTTCACAGTCCGAGAGTACTCCAGTCCCCTTTCAACATGAAAGAGATTTCCTTATTGTGGCAAACTTAAACAAGAACTACCAAAAATCCCAGAACAATCCTCTTGGACCAAAAACAATCCTCTTGGATTTTCACTATGTCAACAATGAGAACAATCCTCTCAAAGTGACTACACTTGTATCCAACAATCCTGGAAAGACAAGGTTTTAAAAATAGTTAAACTTATTTCCAACAATCCTGGAAAAATAAGTAAGTAACTATGAATATTTGATTTTGAGTGAGTTGAGTAGTATTGATCACTTAGAGTGATTTAACAATGAATGATCTTCTCTTCCAATAATAATATTGTACAATGACTCAAGACATAATTGCTCAAAGTTTTCTGTTTAACAATGTATGAAAATATGCAGAAAACTTAAGTATGAAAGTGAAGAAATGCTTGAGTTTGTATTTTGAAAATTCAGGAAATATATTTGGAAGAGGTGTTGAAAATGATTTTGAAAATGAGTATTTATATGTTCATAACACCCTTTTGAAACATCATAAAGTTATGAAAATTAATCATGAACAAATGCCAAGATTGAGTGAAAGGTTTCAATGAAAAGGTATTATGAATAGGCATGTGAGAAGCTGATGTTTTTCAAAATCGTGTAGCATGCAATCGATTGCATCCTTTGTGTAAATCAATTGCACCAGGTTTCAACCGCTATATTTTCAAAAAATTTAAGTGTGCAATCGATTGCACAAGCAATGTCAATCGATTGCATGTAAAGTCAGTAGCAAAAAATAAGAGAGTGCAATTGATTGCTCAAGCAATGTAAATCGATTGCATGAGAAACAGAAGCAAACGTTTTGAAAATTTTAAGTATGCAATCAGTTGCCCAAGTAACGTAAATCGATTGCATGAGAAACATAAGCAAAAGATCGGAAAAATTGAAGCATGCAATCGATTGCAATAATATGCAAATCGATTGCACTCAAGTGAAAAATGAATTTTATCTTTGAAAAATTGAGTAATGATTTATAAAACATTTCTTATTCACCATTGAGCATCTATATCTTAAGATCAAAGTAAATAATATCATTATACCTTGAAAGATGTTAAGATCTTTGAACTGAAGATTTTGTGCGTAGATGCTTTGAGCTTGATCATATATCTTTGCCTTCTTTGTCAATCATGGTTTGTCTTCATCAAAACAAAAGTTCATTTGAGAAGCTTGATTTTACATTCTCCCCCTTTTTGATGATGACAAACAATCTTGCTTTATGCGTTGTACTTTCTGGAAAGAGCTATTCTCCCCCTAAGATGCAAAACTCCCCCTATGTATGAGAAGGTTGGAATCCTTTGAATTTCTTCATCTTGGTTGGAGAGTACCTTTAAAAATTAAGACAGGGAAAAAATACAAGCATAAAGTACCACATCTTTCCACCCCTTTGACATTATCAAAAAGAAGGGAAAGATGCACAAAACAAACAGTAATAAAGCAATATATCGAGAAAACTTTTAATTAAACAAGCAACACAAAATGTTTAACGATTACACAGAAATTTAACAAACAAAACATTGAATAACAAGACAAGGACATAACAAAAAATAGAGTTAGCCAAAACATCAAGGGTGATGCATGTCCGGGTGGTTATAGGACCAAGAGCCTTGATTCGAAAATTGTTGTTGAAGAGGGGGTTTTGTGTAGTGTTGAGGAGGTGCAGCTGGATTATTTGGATCATACGGTGGAATGTGAAGATGAGAGTAAAGGTATGAAAATTGTTGATTCACATCTGTGCAGAAGTCATTAATCCGGGTTGTCGTAGAATCATTGATCGCATTCCATTGGTTGTTGATGTTGGTGTTCATGGAAGCAAATTCTTGAGACATGTAATCTATAAGCTCTTGATTGCTTGGACCAGAGGGAGAAGTAGGTGGAGGAGGCACAACTTCACCGCCTTCGACTTCTTGGTTGTTCCCTTCATCGCCAACAACATCTTCACCAATGTAAGTGATAGTTTTTGTTTTCGGATTGTAATGCACGCCCATTCTGGAGTCAACATTCTTGATGGAAATATTATTCAGATTTGGATCCATATGCACTTTTTCAAACCCAGCAAAATCCACTCCAAATTCCTCCATAATTAAAGTAACAAAATAAGCATATGGAATAAATTTAGATTTTGCATCGACTCTCAGCATATGCACCATTATAAGTCTTGCCCAGTTGTTGCACCCCAAATTTTGCCCTCCTAATTTCTTCTATCTGGCTTAGACTCTCTACATTCATCTATATTTGGGCATTTTATTTTTTGGGCATAGTGAAGAGAAGTTTAGATCATGATGTTGGGGTTGCCGAAGCTTTTGATCTTAGTCTTTCAGAAGATCAGTTTATATCACTTTTTCCGACCTCTTTATCATATTTGAGGTTAATTTTGAAGATTTTTGGGGATCTGAGTCACAGAACTTTTAAAAAGATCCCGTACTTCTATTCAAAAATCCTTTTAAAAGGTTTTAGTCAGTGGAAGAGCTTTTTGTCCAAAGACATATTTGAGGAAGAGTATGGAGAATCTGTCCCATCATCTGTTCAAGAGCTTCTCTACCTTACTGATTGTAGTCTCCTTAGAAAATCAATCAATATGTTGCAGTATCACTTTGCTCTTGATGGAGATTCTCTGAAACTGAAGAACCGTTTGAAGCTATTCAAATCCATTTGGCCCACACTTGACTTGCATGATGAGCTGATGGACTGTCATAGTCAATGTATTGATAATTATTCTCTTTGCCAGTCTTTCAACATAATCAATCACGTTGTCGCAAAGATATCACTTTGTAAAAGGTTACTGTTTCATGATGAAGAAGGTGGGGATTTGAAAGAGGTTGCTCTGGTAATGCAAAGTAATTTGAAAGCATCCAGGATACATTTCATAAATGTTTTGGTGAAAATTTGGCAGCTTGTTGTTCAGAAATTTTCTTTATCCTCTGATCAGTCTGGAACAGGGAAGAGCACAAGCACATTCACCTTCCCCATTCCTCCTAGTCTTGAATCAGAACCCCCAAAATCTTCAAACAAACCAAAAATACGAGTAATTTATCAAATGGAATCCAATAATCCTTACGAGATTCTCGACGACGATGATGGTTTTAATTGGGAAGCAACTGCGAGAGAAATCGACGCGGTTTGTCAAATGAGAAGTGGCGCGAAAACGAACGAAAGCGAATTGGAAAAGGTTTGTCAAAAGCGCGAAAAGAGAAATTTGGAAAAGGAAATATCTCTATCTTGCAAAGTTAAAGCTCTGAGTAAAAGAACTGAGGAGTTGCAAGAGCTTCTTAATCAGGAAGAGAAGAAATCTGCTTCTGCAAGAGAGAAACTAAATTTTGCAGTCAGGAAAGGGAAGTCATTGCTGCAACAACGAGACAGTCTAAAACAAACCATTGGAGAGATGAATGTTGAGATGGAGCACTTGAAATCTGAGATCAACAAACGAGAACACATTATTGCGGAGCATGAACAGAAGATGAGGAAGTTATTAACCTACCCAGATAGGTTAAAAGCACTTGAATCTGAGAGTTCTCTTCTGAAGCATCGTTTGGAAGAAACTGAACACCATTTGCAGGAGAAAGAGTATTCCTTGAAACTGATTTTGAACAAGCTAGGTGAGATTGATGTTGCAGGTGAAGGTCATATAGGTGATCCGGTGAAGAAGCTGGAATGGATCGGAAAATTGTGTTCTGATCTCCATAACTCTGTCGCTTCTTTCGAACAGGAATCCAGGAAATCTAAAAGAACATCAGAACTCCTGTTGGCAGAGTTGAATGAGGTTCAAGAAAGGAATGATAGTTTTCAGGAGGAGCTTGCTAAAGTGGATGATGAACTTGTGGATCTCAGAAGAGAAAGGGATTCAGCGGAGGCTGCCAAACTGGAAGCTCTTTCACATGTTGAAAAGTTATCTACATTACATGAGGAAGAAAAAACAGAGCCATTTTTATGAGCTCGTGGAAATAAAATTTAGCATGAACCAAGTCTGGAAAAGCTTTGGTGAGGTTCAGAATTTACTCGCTAAGACTTTTTTCACAGATTTGGAATCTTTTCGGAATGTGGAAGTTGGTCTTGAGTTGTGTATGAAAGGATACAATGCTCCAAATGTGGTGGATTCATCTTCCAGAGAAGAACGTGATGGTATTTTACTAAAGTCACCTGATAATAAGACGGGCTCTGTGTATGCAGATTCTTGGTCAGAATTTGGCACGACCGACCACTATAATGATAATACCATTATTGAAAATTTTCATCTACTTGGGCATAAACTGCAAGAGTTTTTGGTGGAGGTCAGCTCTCTTAAGGAAAGAATACACACGCACTCCAGTTCGGCACGTGAGCAAGACAAAACCCTGTCGAAACTAATGACAAATATTCAGAGAGAAATTACTTCCCAAAGAGAATCTTTTGAAAAGATAAAGACAGAAGTTAGTAAACGAGATCTGCAACTTATTGCATTGCGGGGGAACGTTGCCCACCTTTATGAATCATGCATCAATTCTGTCACTGTACTAGAGAACAGAAAAACTGAACTGCTTGGAGAAAAGGTTGAATTTCCAGATCAAGGGATTAACTTGAAAGCACCGTCATTTGATGATGAAATATTCGAGGAATGTGTTAAAACCATGGCTGATAGACTGCTGTTGGCTGCAAATGGGTTCGCTAGCATAAAAAATGACTTTTTAGAGGCTAATCAAAAGGAAATGGAGGCTTCTACCTACTGGCTTAAAGCCAGAGCAACTTCCAGAGAAATGGTTGTGTGTCATGCTTAATTGGCTGCCTGGGATGAATTCTTGTGACTTCAGTGAGGATGAGACAACAAAGGCATTGTATGCTTCATATCAAGTGCCGATTTCTGAGGGTCAAAATAACTTGCAAACGCATGCCTCTGAAACTGCATTTGGAGTGAGCTCTGCTGATGCATCACAGTTTGGTCTGAATCACAAAAAGTCCAATTCTAACGTGTTGCTTGACCAAGGAAAGAAGAAACCTGTTTTTAAGGAAAAGATAATGTCAGGAAAGCTCAATGCTCAAGTATCAGGAAAAAATAGAAACTTGAATCAACATTCTACAGATTCTAAACCAATGAAGATGAAACATCCCAGCAGGTCTAACAACACGATAAAAGAGAGACATGTGTCCGAAGAGAGAGAAAAGCAAACAAGTGAAGGTACTAGAAAGTATATTAAGTTGAAACGTAAAACAGATGCTGATCAATCTAGTTCTGGAACTCCTAAGAAATCAAAAACTGAACATGTTCCCTATGCTGATAAACAACTGAATCCTGGCACGGGCCTTGGGAAGGTTGTTCCAAAACAAGAGGCTGTAATACAATTTGTTATTGACGCCATTCAAGCAGAAGCTTTTAATCCCAAGACTCTTTTTCTGATTGGCAGCTATACAATTGGAAAAGAAAGGCTGTTCTTGGAGGTTGCTCGTTCGCTTCGCAAAAAGGTTTACGTAACTGCAGCAAAATTACGCCTTTTAAACTGTTTAGAATTTACTGAGGAGGATATGCAGTGGTCTACTTCAAATGAGCATGAAAGCAATATTCATGTTGCCCCTATGTGGACACTCGCAAGCTTCAAAAGATTGAAGCACATATCAAGTCAATATGCGAGTCGGTTCAGTCTTATAGTTGCTTTCTCTCCTACTGGTTGGACATTTGGCAAAGGTAAAAAGAAGTCTCCTGGAAGAAGGTGGCAGCAGGGTACTGTTATAAGGTATGAAGTTCCTTACAGTGAGCATTCCAGCTTTACAGAACTCAAAGAGTTTGTAAATTTTGTGTCTCCCAATAACATTATACCAAGTGTGAATAATGATGGACCAGAATCTGCGGAAGCAATGGTTTCTCTCCTGTCAACTTGATTTGTGCACTAAAAGGGGTTCAGTTCAGTCTACCCTTGTAACATCTGTGTTTGAGAGTCAGGAAGTTGCTTGAGCAATATGAGCAGCAGTAACTTTTTATGCCAATCACTTTTCAGATTTGCTGCTTTGCAAAAAGGTTAAAATGTGAAAAGAGAAGAAACTATATATTTTAGCAGAGGAGCTTATCTTGCTTATTTTCATGCGAAAGTATGCACGTTTATGTCAACCGTGACATAAAATCTGAAGTGATCGCTGTCCACTACATACTAAGTTGGGAAGTGTTTACAAACCCTTCCTCTGTTGATCCTGAATTAACCCAATGCTTTTTCCAGCAATAAGATGGAGCTTGTCAAAGTTCTTGCTGCACTGCAACCTGTTGGTCTTACGTTATTGTTTGAGATCTTTAACATTTGGTTGCAGATAATAATGCTTAGCGCTTTAAAAACCTCTATAGCCTGTATTATTTGTGTAATTTTGCTTTGTACTTTAAATTCTCAGCTTTCTACATTCTGCTGTAACTGATCACATAATAGTTAACAATTATATGGATGCTTGATTATGCACTTAGACAGGTTGTGTCCAAATTAACTCCAGCCAAGGAAAGATCAATCACTGGAATTCAATGGCACTAGTACAGAAAACATAGCAGAATATCATGCTTGCCAAACTCTGTTGGTGATTGTTGCAAATGTGCTTGGTGGAAAGAAATTAGAGTCAGCTTGTTTGTCCCTTATAGATGTTGAGATATCTTCCTCAATCAAATGGGAAAGAAGTTTATTGAGAAACTGAATGTTTATTATCAACCCATTTTCTGGGCCATGTATTCGGTGCGTCAACTAGACCCAACCAGCCAAACCCAGTTTGATAACTCGAATGATTCAAATATGGAAGAGATGTCGTTGTACTGACAAGGGTAAGTTTAAAACTGAGCTGCACACTAATACAAACGCTAGCAATCAACACAAGACTAAGCTTGGTGGGAAGGCTGAAACTTCAAAAAGGCAATTTATCTAATCAGAATAAAGAGGCGGTACAAGTTGAATTAACTGGCAAATGGTATCCTAATATGCCATTTTTGGATGTTCCTTTGTTAAAGCAGCTGGCTGCTGAAGGAATTGTTTGTAGGACAAAAGCTTGAAGAATGGGAAACAGAAGATTAATTAACAACTCATCAATCTCCTCCTAACAACTTTATAACTCTCTAACTATCTCCAAACAGAATTCCCAACTAGCATAACCACCTTGTAACCAACTCTCAATCTCACCCTTCAATCCCTAACAAACTCTATCCAAATCAATGGTTCAGATTGATTCCCACATAACCGTTTCCTCCCTCAACTACCTATATAATCCAAACCCCCTCCAAGTTTTGAGGGGACGAGGTCACTCTCTCTTTTCCAGTTTCAGAACTTCATCATTGTATCAGCTTCAAAACAACTTCTTCCCTCTCCATCATTCACTCTCAATTTTTCTGAACTCTCATAATCTTCAACTTCCCCTCTCTAAACTCCGTCTTCACCGCCACTCTCCATTGTTCGACCTTCATTTAGTTCTCAAAGCTTCACTTCTCTCTGATTCATCATACAAAGTTCATTTTTCTCAACTCGCGATAATCTTCATAATTGTCATCATTTCCGTTCTTCTCCTATCGCCAACGCACGCAACTCCCAGACCAAAGAGAAAGTGAAGACAGTGAGGAGAGAATCAAGACAAAGCAGACAAGATCAAGAAAAACAATAATTGTATTACCGCACCTCTGGATTTCTGAAGCGCTACCAACGTGCCTTCAATAGGTAATCCTCAATCTTCTTCTTTTTACGACTTTTTTTGCTTGGTATGTACCATAACCGCGAAGGGTAAAATGCGCAAACGATAAATCCACCATGTAATCTTGATCGGAAGAAATGTAGAGCTTAAGTTTCGTTGTTAGATTCGAAATAGAGGAAGATAAATTGATGAAAGCAAGCAAAGGAGTCGAATTCAGAGGGAGACGTTAGGTGGTGTTGGCAAGAAAGGAATCGGAATAGGGGAGAAGGGGTGGAGTCATGGCGGCATCGCCATTGTTGTTGTCGACATGTAGAAGAAAGGCTTTCTGTGTAAAGGAGCTGGAAGGGGTCGTTTACAGCAAACACCGTCGTTTTGGAATTCTTTTATTTCTTTTTCTCCTTTTATTATTATTCATTTATTTAATTGTTATTTCAAATGGTTAAAACAAAAAAAAAACAAAAAAAAAAAGAAAAGAGGAGAAATTATTATATTCTTTTTATTATTTTGCCTTTGGGAATTAATTCATAATTATTCGGTTACTCGAAACTGGTAATTCACTTTGCTCGTCAAGATTCGAGTCTTATGCAGGTTTTTATATGGATATGTTCGAGATGCCGATTGTGATTCATTTTCACATTAAAAGATGCTTCAGTAATGGGGTTTCTGACTCTTTTCTTTGTTGGTGCTAGCAGCTCGCAAGAACATCAAGTATCTTTGCTTTTTCTACTTTGCTCTACGGGATAGTATCCGTTTGGTATACTTTCTTTCTATCTTACCTCACATTTATATTTTCCCATAGATCATATGAAGTGTGATAGAATCAGGTTTAGGCTAGTCTCCCTATAACGTTTCTTTCCCTCTTCGCATATGCATTTATAATAACAAAAATTTCTTTTTTTACAAAAAACTTCAAAAATACAAAAAAGGGGAAATTTACTGACAAGAACCACGTCTTGGCTAAGTTTGAGAGATGATAAGCGGGTTTCTTCTCGACCTTATTATTCTCTTGTTCTAAGCTTTGGTAGGGTTCAAGTCTCAAAGATTCATTTCATGAATAAGTAGAGACATGGCTAAAATCTCTCTCTTGAGATTAACTAGCTATTATCTACAAGCAAAAATACCAACCAATACAAAATCTTTTTGCCTTCGGGCCCTTCCTTTCAAACTCTTTTCAAAAGAGCGTACTAATTCACTTCTGTGCTGACGCGTAAGTTTCCGAAGGTCGAGTTGCGGCAGAAGGCGAAATTACTATCGTTCATTCAAAAACAAACAAATTCAAACTTTTTGTGCGTCCAGGCACATTTTTCTCCAAACTTTTCAAGAGAGCATGTTAATTCACTTCTGTGCTGACGCGTAAGTCTCCAAAGGTCGAGTTGCGGCAGAAGGCGAAATTAATATTGTTCAGTAAAAAAAATACAAACAAACAAAAACATGTAAGCCGAACTACGGCTGCTCTGATTCCTTAAAAGGGATACGTAGGCATCGGGGTAGGGCCCGAACGAGCACAATTTTATTTTCCCTACATTCTTTTCTCCTTTCTTTGCATGCATTCTCCCTTCAATAGTGTAATAAACAATAAGCATAGATTAAACACACCCATAAGATAGACAACAAGAGTGGATACCGTAGAGTACTACGGGCGTGTGGGGTGCTAATACCTTCCCCTCGCATAACAGACTCCCTTACCCTTATCTCTTGGTCGTTCGACCGTGACTTCTCCCTCATCAGGTTTTCTCGATGTTTACCTTTCCCTTCATGTGGGATAAAAGACATTCGATGGCGACTTCATTGTTTGATGATTTTCAGCCGGTTGTTTCAGCTGGCGACTTCACTGGGGAATAGGTTGACCAAATGCTGTTCCATCCCGGAGTCGCTCCTAGCTCTTGTTTTCTTTCCTTAGGGTGTTTATTTTTATGCTTTCAGTTTACTCATTTGTACATGTTTATCTGAGCATAAGTTTGCATTGCATTTTATGGCTTTCCATATTTGTTATCTATTATGCTAGACTATGTTCTCTATGTTGGGTGGGGATGTCACTTTTGAGGTAAAAGGCCCAGTACCCAGGCCAGAGTGCACTAGGATACCTAGGAATAGAGTGGGGGCATGACGACTATAGGACGTGGTCCGATTAGTGCAGTCATGTCATATACCACGCTCGGATGAGGTTCAAATGAATTACTATCGACACCCACGTCTGTGGGCAAGCCCATAGTACTTTCAGGCGAACCCGTGATTTTCAAGTTACCATTGTCTTACCCTGACCTAGTCTTCACCCGTGAGTGGGGAGGGATTTGTCATTACAGGTACAGTTGGGGCTATGTTCAAATGGTTACTCATGCTCAGTTGGAGACTGTGATCAGATGGTGATTAGTGGTTCTAATGATCATGTTATGGACTTCTGTCAATGACTTATGCATATGGTGTTCTGTTGGTGACCATATGGTTCTCAGATTTATTTTGAGTTCCTGACTTGCTTACTTGGAAGTTCATTCAAGCCTTTGATCTTGATATTCCCAGCATACTCAGAAAAGCTCAAACAGTACCTGATGTTCCTGAAGCCTTGATCTCATGCTACTTAGATCTACATAGTACTCGGCTTTTATATGTGCGGAAGCTATTTCGGACCTTTGATTTGATGATATTCATATGGTTCAGAATAACGCAGCAATCATATTTGGAAATGATGGAACCTTGATCCCATTTGATCTTATATTTGTGCATACATAACATGGTTAACCACATACTTAGCATACATGTTCTATGATTTCCAAGGAATCGTATTTGTAAGCCTTATGCCAAACTTTTCCATCTTTTGCTTACGTAAAATCAAAGCACGTAAATTCCTTGGGAATGAAGGGACATAACATGGCACCTATTCATGCACTCCATGTATATTCATGTATCCATAACAGGTACTCAAAGATTGGGGATTCTTATTCAGACATGGTTCTCCGCGGAGGTTTAGCTTTGATTTCTTATTGCACTTGTTCAGGGATCGGTTAGGGAATAACTCCATATGGTATACCTACAAGCTTTGGTCCGTGGTCAGAAATTTCTTCGAACAGGAAGATAATTGATTAAAGACTCAAGATGAACTAGGTCATGGAAGCTCTAATGATGATTAATAAACTTATGGCTGCAGATCTTATATCAGTGCTTCGTTTTTTACCAACGTCAGATATGGTTGCCACGCCAGGGCATCATACCTTTTAATCAGGGGCATCCTCCATAACTTTGCGTTCCCTAATTTGTTCAACAAGAGCCAGTGAATTCATGGGAAAGCTTTTAAGCCAAGACACAAGAACCCTGATGAGCATTCTAATGCGAGCCCAATGCATTACATCCTATTATTCCCAGTTCTTCCCAGCTCTGATCTTTGAGAACTTCCTCCCACAAACATCTCTTCTGATTATGATATGTATGCTAGATACTTTTCCTATTCTGGGGTACCCGGTTTTAATATTGAAGACTACAAAGGGGTTATAAAAGCCCAACACCTGTTTGGAGTCTCTCCCAAACTCTCTTTCACCAGGTGGATGTCTCTTTTGTTTTGATAGAAGACAAACTGTATTAGTTTTTTGTGGCGTAGTATGCCTGATAATGCAGTTTTCACTTTAAAAAAGCATTCAGTTGTTCTCCTGAAAGAATCTTCTAGGCATATTATTCTGGGGAAATTGATCATTCGATTGAAGAGAGTACGTCATCTAGAGACGAGGTCTAAAACGAGATCAATCCAGAGACCGTAGTGTCCAAATCATATCAGAGGGAGAATTTTCTCACTCACCCCATGCATCTTCATGCATCCATAGAGGGTACTCAGAAGGTACTCGGAATGGGGAACCCTTATTCAGATTCAGTATTCTCTTTTCAAGAACTGCCAATCTTGACGTCTCACGGCTTCATGATCAAATTCAAGTTATGAAACAACCTTGTGAGGAATTGGGTGAGATAAAAAGAATCAGATGGGTTCATTTATCATGTACATGCCAAAAATGACCGGTAGTCAGAAATCCTCAAAGAAA